CCTCACTACGTAGTTCGGCAGTACTACTTCGTACAGAAGTTAAACATGCATACATATTAAATGCTATTGACTGGTTTGTATCATCAAGATTCGCTTATAACCTCCTCCCCCCTAAAGGCGCTTGATTGCAACATATATCGGATCGTTACTGTTATATCCCGCCACATGGTATTTCGGGTATTTAATTACGAGTATATGATGTGAGTAGCATCCGGCGCATACAATATAACGACGTCGATGTAAAGTTGGGGTTAGATGCTCTACTACAATACAACAAGTAGGCTTCTGTCTATCTGCGACCGAGGAGGCAAGCCACCTTTCCTCTCCATGGATATCCTTGGCCGAGATCAGAAGGATTCGTTCCTTTGGCTGGGACGGGGCGTATGTATGTATAGGTAGATAGACTATGTACAGATAGACGAACATAGACGATACAATGTGTCTACTTGTTAGATACAACCAGAGACCTACGACACATGTACACACTCAGGCACTCACGCACCCACTCATCCACTCATCCACTTCGCCAAAGCGAACAAAATCCCTCGAGCCACCATCCAGCCCGTACTGCGCCGCTCCCCTGCACCACTCTATTTTTCTAGCAGCCGGCAGACTTTCTCCAGCGCGTCGTCTCGTTGGTGAGTGCCCCGCCGAGATTTTACTTACTACCTCACTTCACTTGCAATACATGATCCAATACATCGAGGGGCCAACCCTTCTTGGCCCATCCTGCCCAATCCGTCGGCTGCGTTCTGCGGCTTTCTGCAAAGTGCCTACCTACCTACGGCAAATACTGTACATACCTATGCGCGGTTTAAAAGGAATACGAACCAGAAGTCTTACGCACCCGGGTACGCAATTTGTATGTGCGCTCACGCGTGGATTGACTACCTACCTAACTTTAGGTATGCAGGTAGCTTAGCTGTCAGCTTCCCCCCAAAGCCGAACGTACCTAACGTATAGTGGGTTGGCGGATCGGCATGGCTCTGGCGAGTTGGGGGCCGAAGAAATCGAAGCGTGTCGATTTGTAGATAGGTCGAGTTTGCGGCCTTGTGCGGAAACGGCAACAGATCGTCGACGGGTCCTACGGCTGTGGGATAGGGTGAGATGGGATGAAGATGGGATGAAGATAGATAGTGGCTAGTCAAAAGAGGCTGGTTGTTGGGCAGTGCGTAATCAAGATGTTACTGGAGGCGCTGCCGCCCTGGACGGAGAGCTGAGCGACTAACTAACCACGAGGAACGTAAGACCGTAAGAACGTAAGGATGACGGAACGTCTATAGGCATCAACGTATGGGTAGAGGTGCTTAGCTTGTGTTAGCACTGCTTCGATGAGTAAGACCTAGAAGCCGTCTAGTCTTCTAGTCTCAGTCTTAGCCGGCGCTCCCGTTCAGCCTCTACTCCGTCCGGGTTTCGCTCTTTTCTACTACCGCCGCTACCGAGCGGGCCTTGAGACATCCGGGTTAAACAAGTACCTACATCATCGTCACCAGCTATGTAAGAAGAAGATGCATGTTTCACGTCCGAATCCTAGCACGTATGTAGGTATGACATGCCACCAGCGGGTTTAGTATCGGGTGAACCCTCAACCAGCTACAGACTACTACAAGGGATACCGCTGCAGTCAGCTTATCATATTACCCGCCACGTGGAAGACGCATTGCCTCTGGGAGTATAGGTATTCCCTTCTGTACAATACGGAGATCATAGATGCGATCCCCGAGAGTAGACCTTTCGCTGCCCGATATACACACCTGATCGCGCCCGCAAGATCCGCTGTCTCGTAATGTTTTAATAATCGGCAACGCGGATGCGCAGCTAGGGATGACCACAAGCACAAGCACAAGCGCACTTGTTCACTTGTCTGGGCACCCGATCCGCCGCCGCGGTCCCTATTACTACGACGCCTTCCCGGGCTCCTAAGCCATTCCCTCGCCTCTGACACGGTCAGCTGGTCGAGCCCCAGGTTTCGCGGTTCGGCCGAGTTTATGTGGAGTCCGAACTCGATTTCCTCCCGGACTTAGGGCCGTCGGGCTGATTGTTGCCTCCTGCTGGTCGATGCACGTGGGCGCAGGGCCGCCGAGTGTGGCTTAATATAGTCCCCTTCATCCCAGCGGAGATCTCGGGATCCAGGTAGATCCAGGACTCGCTGGCTAGCTAGCTAGCTGACTTACAACCCGGCTTTCCTGACGATGATGTTATGTTAGTTATGTCATGCCATGTCACGAACTTCGGGCGGCTTACTATCGCGCCAAAAGACCCGTATCAGTCAGTTGTTGCTATCTTGGTATCACGGTCCTGGTTTCAGCCACGTCCTCGCGGGCTGTGGGCGTGGACTGCCAAGGCACGCGAGGAGAGGAGAGGTACGTAAGTAAGGGAAGGGACTAGTAAAGACATGTTCTACTGGCTTCGGTGAGGATCGACCTACCACCGCCTCGCACCTCAAAGACATATCATTCTCGTATCTATCCCGCTGCTCCTGTCATAGGTCAGCTCGGAGAGGGTCTTGCTCGGCACACAGTTGTTTCCTATCTTTGCTTATTCCCACGCCGGGGCCTAGACCTTTGCCGTTGTCTGGTTATCGTATGTAGATAGGCAGATGCCGCCTCTGCCGATCCCAAGATCTTCGTTGTGGTACCGTTTCGAGGTTCGTTCCCTCTCGCTCGGGTATGGAGGCGGTCGTTCATAGGTTTGCGGCAATCGATGTGCCATCGGAAGAAATGCCTTAGTGCGTGAAACATCCAAGCCCGTAGCGATCTGGGATACCTATGTCGGTACGCACGTAAGCCGCCCTATTCGGCCCGTGCGGATGTGGTTAGAATCTGGTCCATCACGTTGGTAGAAGTCCCTGTGAAGTCCCTGTGGGGGTATTTTGTCTGGTTCTACCTTTGCGTGGGACTCCATTTCTCCCTTATTCAGTGTTGAAGGCTCTTAGGGCTACTATGAATATGCACGTCTCTTACTTGCGTTAGTACTCACATAGCCCCAGCTATAACGTATAGTTACCTACCTATCTATACAGACATGCCCGTGATTCCTCCCCCCCCCCCCCCCCCCTTGATCCCTTTCTCGAGAAAGTGAACAGTAAGCCGTGTTTAACGGTAGGAATATACGGCTAGCCCAGCCTAGCTATTACACAAACGCATCTCGTCGAAGGGTTATCCTCACACACGTGCAGCAGGACAACGGCACTGACCCGCTGCGCTATTTATCGACCCGGATGGGACATGGTTGGCGGCAGGGCCGTTGGTATTACCTGCAGATGCTACGTCGTTGGCATATGTAGTGATGACCCAGGGCTCCGGGTTCCCCACAATACCAATGATTGTCTTGTCTGCGGAATAACGAGCGGGTTAGAGTGATAGTTCTGTTGGCGCTATGGTATGGGAAGATGGATGTGTGATTGGTGAGGCGGTTGTGTGTATATCGTGTAACGGGAGGATGGTATTTGTTGGTTGGGCTTTGAATACTATAATAAAGCCAGTTAACATGTTTGGATTAGTATTTGGCCACGGGACATGTGTCTATACTACGTCGTAACTCGGTTCACTAACTACAGGTAGTTTATGTGGCAATAGTTGATTCTCGAGAAATGGGATGTGAGTGACAAGAAGACAACGGTCCAAAGTATGTTATACTCATTGTCGGAAGAAACAGACGAATAGCTATAGAATAATAGCTAGGTTTTAAGTAAGGATAGGCTAGATGGAATTTATTATTATTTTCGTAATTAAGAACGTCCCATGAGGCCAGCGCGGAGATATTATATAGCTTTTATAAAACATACCGTATGGATACTCTGACTACTGGGCTTTATGCCTATGTCTAAAGACCTTGAGTATATGGTATATCTGTTGAAGTTAAGTCTAGCCACGTCGTCTACGATTGTTGTATATATATATCACCCCGAGTGCTGAGAACATATTCCATCCTTCAGAAATTGGAATATCGGAGATATCAACGATAGTTTTTGTTTATACCCGCGGGTTAGTTTTGTTTTTGATTATGGTTCTTCGTGCTTCAATATAGTCAGCTATTTACTCATCTGTGTTCCTATTTACTCATATCCTCACAGAGAACACCGATTGATAAACAACACATTACTTTAATAATCAATCGACTGAGTAGTTAGCATCGGAGAAACTACAACGAGACTAATAAAACTTGGTTAGGGGTTCCTAAAACCTTTTAGATTCATCATCTCCATGGAGTTTATTCTAGCTATGAAATTTGATGGGAAGGTACCTAATAGCCATGATGATAATGACATGAACATGGACCTTATGACAGAGACTTATATGTTTACGTACCTAGGTAGTTAGGCCATAAGAACTGGTGAGTAACTAGGTTCTCACTCGGTTGTAAGATAGTGAATCTATGCCCCCCGCCCCTTTATATATTAGTTGGATGGGTAACAAGTCAGACAGCGAAAATAAAATACGAAGAAAGTCTGAGTTCAGATGGAAAGAGAAATTGTGCCAAATACCATCCCCCAAGGTTCAAGTACACTCATCTACCCAGGTGCCTCACCCTCAACAGCTGCCAAACTACCAGCCGGTTGCTAGGCAGCCAAGTTCAACATAAGTACACCATTAGAAACCCATTCTCTCACCCCTGATCAGCAGCTGCAAACCCAACATGGCCGTGGCCGAGTGGTTAATGAAGTAGGGTCAGAAATAATCCTTAACTGGGTTTTTCGTAGGAAACTAGGTTCGAGACAGCCCCAGGGCGGCAGGAAGGCCAACTGTTCAGGTCAAATGGGGTCCTTGAATACTGAGTTCCGAGCTTTTTTGTCGACCTTTTATTTTTCTCTTCTTTTTATTTAGTTTTAATCGTCATTTGTTACTCATTCTTTTGTTTTCTCGATACGAAGATTATGTGGCTAATGGACCAGAAGAATCTAATGATGATACGACGCTACTGTAGAACTGAGTCTTATGGTCCTATTTCAGGGGCTTGCGATCGTAGAGCCGCAGATCACATCAAACAAACTCGGCAAATCAGCAGTTAACTCCTGGTTTTTGGTCTAGTCAATTCATGCTATCAACATCCCTGGTATTTGTAGGTTGACCGTCTATAATCGTATACAGATTCGACCTGCCCTTAAAGACTACCGGCGAATTTTTATTTAGTCCTCATCCCAGTTGGGGTTGGGTCCCGGTGGCTTCGGTCCGCCAGCTTGCCTTGCTACGATGATCTGGTCTACCGATAGCACCGTTCGCGCTGCCTCTGTCGCCAGCTTGATGGCCCAAGACTTGGTGACCATAAGGTCTAAGATACCCTCCTCCTTGGCATCCAGGGTGCCAGTGCCGTCGTTGTTCTGTAAAACAAGTGATGTTAGCATTGCACTACGTGTATGAATAGCAAGGTTGAGGGTCTTACCTCTATGTCAACTCCTGTAGTCCAGCCGTCCTTCTTGTTATGTGCTGTGTATAGTCTACTTAGCACTTCTGTAGCGTCTAGACCAGCACTCTCTGCTATGGTCCGTGCGACAACCTCGAACGCCTCGCCGTATTTACGGATGGAGTATTGCGGCAAGCCGGAAGTCTTGTCACCGAAAGCTTGTATCCTTCCTACGAGCTGTATCTCTGTAGCACCTGCACCGGGGACCAGTTGTGCGTCGCGGGTGATAGCCTTCACCACGTTGACTCCGTCGTCTACCGCTCGCTCAACGTCGTCAAGGTGATTTTGCGTAGCACCTCGGAGAACGATGGTTGCCGTCCTTGTGACCTCGTCTTCCTGTCTGAATACCGTCACGCGGTCTCCGCCAATTTCGAGGGTCTCGACAACGTCTACAGATCCCATCTCGTCAGGCATGGGAGCGCCTAATCTGGCAAGAGGAGTAGCACCGACGACACGGCAAACCCGCCGTAATTCAAACTTGCTCAGAATCTTGATAACGAGTATGCCGTATCGGTTGAGGTAGTGCATGGCAAGCTCTCCCACGGTGGAGCCGGCGATTACGACTCTCAAACCGACATCGTGCAGCTCCTTGATGGCGGCTTCCAATTGCTCTTCTTCTCCCTTGGTGAAGTCCATCATTTCCTTGGCGTTGTGTAATAGCACGGTACCCTTGGTCTCAGTCTGGCTTATGTCGAGGGCGCAGGAGAAAACTCCGACCTTGGCCTTGGTGGCCTTCTTGACAGATCCATCTGGCTCCTTGGGGAAGACCATACCCTTCACCACTTTGCTCTGCTCTAGGCTTCCGCCCATGATCTTCACTACTCGGATGTTGTCGACATTGAAGTTAGCAGGGTTTTTAGGGAGCACGGCGAGAACGGCCTCGGAGACAAGAGTGGCTAGTGTATCCTCGTTACCGTTCTGCTTGCTCGCCACCACCGTCCGGATCGCCTTGCTTAACTGTTCCTGGTTCCTGATATCATCTACCTTGTCGACGACGAGTTGCTCCAAGGCCTCAAGGGCGAATGCTTGAGCGCGCTCGTAACCCGTGACTATATCTGCAGTCTTAAGGCCCATTCGTAGTAGATCTTCGGCTTTCTTGAGGAGCTCGCCGGCAAGAACTATAACAAGGTTCGTGGCATCACCCATCTCAGCCTCCTGCTGTTGACTGGCCATAACTAAAAGCTTAGCGGCGGGGTGGACGACGTCGAGCTCCTTGAGGATAGTTGCAGCATCGGAAGTGAGGATCATCTTCTGCAGATGGTTTATAATAATTTTATTCCGGCCATAGGGTCCTAAGGAGGTCTGGACGGTAGAAGCGATGGCCCGACAAGCATCGATATTTCGTAGCACAGCTCCATCTTCGGCGTCGTAGCTGTAAAATAGTAATATGGTTAGGCACCTCTTTATTCTTTATTATACAAGTTCAAGTTCGCAAGCTGTGGCGGGGTGAAGAACAACGTACTTGTTATAGCCTTGCTTGAACAGGCCAGCATTTGGCGCGTTCGGGATATTGAGCGACATATTTGTTGATTCCTTCCTAGGTAGATGTCCAACTTGTTGACTCGGAATAGACCAGGGTTGAAGACTGAATACTAACACGCCTCGTCAATTATTAAAGTATTAAAGTATTAAAGTGGGAGGCTCCAAAGTTGAAGCTTCTACCAGAAAAAATGAGTGGAGCTATCAAAGCTGCTAGGAGGTACATGATACATGTGATACTTAGGTACCTAGCCTACCTAATTACCTCTCATACATAGGTACATATGTACCTAATGGACATAACTAAGACTGCTAAGCAAACAGCACGTAAAGACCTAAGATACCTAAGCCTTGCAGCAAAGATGTGGGCCGTGAAGTGTATACTATCCAATCAAGCTCTAAATAAGCAGCCTTGTCCCTTAACAAAAGTAAGGTACTACGCTTCCACGCTTCCACGCTTCCACGCTTCTACGCTTCCAGCTATGGACATATTTCGTCGCGCCTGTAATCTGCGCCGTCTTTTGCTCTCTTCGTCATCTTATTCTTTTCAACTTCGCCAACTTCACCGTCGGATGTTTGTTAAACACCACGCAATATCATTTCTAAGATATTAGCTGTGATTCATTATCGGAATAAGAAATACATAATTCAATTATCTGGCTCGCAGTCAGATCCTGAATTGGTGAAGTCGCTGCGACAACTGTCGCATTGTATAAAGATGGCTCCGCAGAACAGTAAGTACACACATTCTTATCATCACCAACTTGAAGGTGCAAGCATCTCCAGCCTCGGTGCCGTCTTGAATTAGTCATTTCCCATTAAATTTGTTGGCTACCTACCTTGCTTGTCATTACTGTCATTACCTATAAACTCTCACCATCCTCACTTCGACGTCAACAATCAACGATGGATCTTCCGCCCTTATTTCGATTCAGTCCCGGAAAGGCAAAACGACCCGTTCAAGTTAAACCTGCTGAACCTGAACTATCTTCCCAAATATCTTCCGAACTTGAAGATAATGCTGCTCGGGGTTGGAATCACGCATCGTCAGGATATACTAAGAACGCGAGCTAATCATGTAATCTAATAGTTAACCCTCCCGCTCTACCTCCTACGGTCGAAGAAGCCTATCGACGTAAATGTATCCAACTGAAGGAGCGCACCAAAGAGATCGAAGATGAGACAAAGGCCTATCAGCTGCGACTGAATCGACTCCAGCGCCAAGTCCAAAAGCTACGTCTCGAGCGCGCATTCCTCCTCGAGCAGGTCGCTAAGCGCACGAGCACCAACGTAGAGGATTCTGAAGGCAGCCCCAGTCCTCCGCCGACTGTATGTGCTAATTTCCTTCTTACCTGTGGAACGTTTACATTAAACAGATGTCTAACTATCTAGCAGCCTAAGGATAAGCCGCTCCGAACCAAGCGCGGGCATAGAAAGCCGTCCTTGCTTCCCATCTCCGAGCCGGGCGCCGGAGGACCTAGCGCCACTTTCATCAATCAGAACTTAGCGACGCTCTCGCCGAGCTCCGACGCCTATTCACACTCTCAGCTCGACCACGGCCGTCTTAACGGTATTGCTAAGCGACCAAAGCGGCCTAGCAACGCCTTCGAAATCTACTGCAACGACACCCGACCCGTTCTTCAGGCCCAAAATAAGGAAAAGATTGCGGCTGGAGAGTTCCGTCTCGAAGAGGAGCTCGCACGCGGCTGGAAGGACTTAGCAGAAAAAGAAAAAGAGGAGTTCCAAGTCCGATATGAGCAGGAGCTGGCCCAGTACAAGGAGGCCGTCGAGGAGTATAAGCGCGAAACCAAAAACGCTGCGCGTGAGCGCTCGCGCAACAGGGACAGAGACCACTTCGGCAGCATCTCTAGCAGTAGACGTGGCGGTGGAGGTGGTCGTTCGGCCCGCTTCGAAGAGGTCCAGGATGAAGAAGGAGACGACGACCAGGATGTCGAGATGGCAGATCCCGGCGACCATGAGCCTGCGGGCGATCAGGATACGGACCCAGAGACCGAGGTTGATGAGAATGACGGCGCGGTAGACGATTAGGGCAGGTACGGCCTTAGACTCAGACCTCTGCCCTCCCACAGAGGGAGACAGTCCCAGGAAGATAATCCGAATATGAGCCGGCGGGGAAGAACGAGGTCCTCCTACCGCCAGGACCCTTAAAATTTGGCGTTACGGTAAGGGACTTTGGCTTAGCTTTGGTTTCGAGTGTAGGATTAGGATTAGGATCAGGTATCATGCTAGGCCTAGGAGCCAGGAAGTTAAGATAATAGCATTAATGAATCAGAGAAAAAGAAGGTACCTATAATTTTCATCTACGGGGACTTTGTAAGGAGTGGTTGGTGAAATGTGTGAGCTTGTTTTTGTTTCGCTTTCGCGTTCGGGGAGTAGTAGTAAAATGCAACATAAACCTGGAATTGTGACATTATTGCGTGGGTACTGGATTCAATATAAGTTGTTTTGTTTACCTATGCATCATGAGTGCGTTGCCCCTATTTTCAGTCTCATGCCGGGGAGATACATACCAGGTAGGTTAGGTACCTAGGTAGATTAGGTCGGCTTTGCTGTGAAGCGCTCCCATATCATACGTGTATAACACTTCCGAAGAACCGCACCCGGATAAAGCAAAGCCAAGCAAATACGCATGACGAAGCTGACGCGCGAAGAAACCATTGATATTAACGCCACCCATTACCCACGCTGCTCTCGCCGCTCAAACTGGAAATTACTTCGATTATGGACCTAATCTAACCTAATGTATGCAATGACGCCTATCCTATGTCAGAGGTGATATAAATAAAACCGATACGCAGCCCAAACGCCAAAAGCTGCAAGCTACTAGTACTGGTGTGCTGTGTGCATATGTATGTGTATGTGTATGTGTATATGTATGCTATCTAACCGATGCACCTGAAACCGAACACCGCCCGTCCTTTCTTGATCTGTATAGAGACGCAAACTGGCCTGGCTCGCTCCCTTGGTTGGAGATGGGTGAAGCTAGGTGGTTAATCTACGCCGGCGTAGAGGTCGACGACAATGTTGACGGCTGCGACTAGGATTTCCGCGGCGATGAGGACGATGACTGTAGGCTTGTGTTAGATGGTTGGTCATTACAGTAGATGCTTCATGGTTTTAATTTATTCCATTCGGAATAGGTAGCAAACTACCTATATAGGGGGGGAAACGAGGGAGATGGATATGCTAGATACTACGTACCGATCCACTCAAGTTTCTCTCCATGACCATGGCTCAGTTGATCCTTAAGTACGGCGAGCAAGTCAGCAATGACGTCGAGGCGCTCGGTGAGTAGGCGGACACGTTGGTCCATCTCGAGGTAGCTGCGGACGGCCTGATAGACGGGTTCGAGATGGGGTTCAACCCAGAAGAGCTCGGGGGTGTCGAGCACGCTGCCGTTGAGGTGGATGCTGATGCGCAAGATAAACAGCTCGCCGATCTGCATGTTGATTTGCGACCGCGACAGTGCGATCTTACCCGTCAGAGCGATCTGCGTCGGTATGTCTTTGCATGTATCGACAGTCGATGCGATGAGCTCCTCGAAGAGGGACGTCTGTTTTGGGGGTTAGTTATCTATTCATATTGTGTTATATATGTACCTATATATATATATATATATATGAGAGGGAAAAGGCATACCTTGACGCTTTGCGCCAACGCGTGCGATATGGCTAGCTTCGTCATGTAGTTCCCCTTGTCCCTCAGCGTGATAAAGTCGTTATATATCCGTGGCTGGTACTCATTAGTGTAGTAGAAGTTGAAGCACTCCGTCTCCACGTCGTCCGGATTTAGCTTATCCAGTTCGAATTTTGCGATGTCTTTTAGGAACCGTTGCTCGTGTGCTGGCGACATGCCCCATATCACAACAACACCGTAATCGAATAAGAATACCTCCGGTGTATGTACCTGGATGTCGAAGTCGGCACCGTGCTGCTGGTGTTCGGAATGCGAATGCGGATCGTGTATGGCGCTCTCATCCTCGGAATGTGTCGGGTAGGAGAGGTTGTTATGGACATCCCGGCCATTACCGAATATCTGTTCGGTATCCGATGCGTCGTCATCTTGTTGTGATTGCAGGTTCCGCAGGCTTTCCCTCGCGTACGTATTCGAATGTTCGTCCACTTCGCCGGTGGAATGTCTCCTCTCGTAAGTCTGGATCGGTCTTTGCCGTATTTCTTCCGCTGCCTCTGCTCGCTCTACGGATTTCCCAAACGCGTAATTATACGGCGAGTATATGCATTCGTCTATCAGCTTGGGATTTGAACCCCTATTTTTACCCCTGCCCTTGAGGAATCGCATCAAACCGTCCATCTGGTACTTTGTAGCCGTGCAGTAGGCCGTTACCCGTGGCAGTCTATCGCGGTCTGCTTTGCCTAACCGTGCGGCATCTCTCCTTGCAGTAGGATCTTTAATACGTGTATACTGCGAATAGACGTCTCTGCCGCTCTCCTCATCTGGACCCTCCTCGTCAAGTTCGGGATTCGGTAATATTTTTAGCTTCTGTGCGTTCTTGGAACTTCGCTGGGGGCCAATTTTGGGTATAGGGCTAGCTGCCGGCGGGAGAGCGGTGAAGACGGCGCCGTGGCTGTTACGTCGACGCAGGCGGCTGTTCAGCGCGGAGAGCATAGGTGGCGGACCAGCGGAACTGCTACCCGAGGCCATAGAGCTAGGTAGGCGTGCATGGCCAAAGTTGCCTGTAGTACTGGGCGAGGAGCTTAAGGATGAGGGATCGGGATCGATTGTTCTCGTTACGGGATTAGGGTTGAATGTTACATTGCGCGCGCTTCTGGGACGGCTTGTGTCGTGTCGTAGGAGAGGAGTTCGCTCGGATGTCAGGCCGGAGCTAGTTGAAGCTCCTGATGATGCATCCATCGTGATACTTATCTACCTGGATAATATGCGACTTCATATAGCGGTAGGAGCCAATTGAGTCTGCTGCTAGGTGACCTTTGATGCGCGACGATAGCTCTCCTTATATTAAGTGCTACCGTGTTGCCATATGAAGGATGAAACTCGCAGATCCAATTGTTTGCTCTTCTTATCTCGGGAATAACTTCAAATCATAGAAGGGACTTATTTTTAAAAGGTACAAAAAGATATAAATGAATCAAAGTACTTGAAACTTGCAACTTGCAACACGAGTCGGTGTGACAACGGGAGAGAGAGTGTGTATTGTTACGGCCTAAGAGGTTTTAGAGACGGGACGCAATTCTCGGAGCTAAGAAGCTTGTACTATTATGACGTTTGACGAATTGAAAAGAAAAAAAAAAGAAATACATAAAGCTAGCCCGGCTTATCAATGCCGACCCCTGCAAATCTTTTTTTGCGGGGCATCTGAGTCCGTTTTAGTATATTACCTGCAAATATGTATGTATGGTCAATAATATACACATGAGGGCACCCCTGCGGTGCGCCACAATAGCCCGAGTTTACAGAGGTAATATGGTGCTGCCGGGGAATGGCGCGCGTAGGTATTTTGAAAAAGATAAAAGTGGGAACCTGGAAAAGCACGTGGGTAATTCCACTTACATGAGGGCACCCTGGAAACCTCGACTATTAACCTTTACAAAAAGATTAAAAAAAAAAATAAAAAAAAATAAAAAAAAGGAAAAAGCGTATGGGATTCGAACCTAGGCTCTTATTAAAAATAGATACGCATTTCAAGAAAAAGATGAAAGTGGGGACTTGGAAAAGCACGTGGGTAATTCCACTTACATATTTTGTGGATGCACCGAATCAAAACGGTTAAAAAGCGCCGCACGGACGAACTTCCTCTTTCGAAAAAAGGTCCCCAAGACAATATCCCTCGTAAACTCGGTCGGGCATATACATGTACACTTTCCTTATATATTATCGCGAGCTCCGTCGTTAGATGCAAACAGTCTGAAAGGAGGCTCAAGATGAAACTACAACCCATTAATGATTCTTAGAATAGGTTCGATCATATACATAACCTCCGTCCGTTTAACATATTAGTTCCAGGTTACATGTATTCTTTGACCTTCCACAATCATAGACGCCAAATCCTAACGCCGACCATATGAAGCCGAGATAACGCCCCTCGGCTTATCCTGGACAAATGCGGAATACAACCAAGAGAAAACTATGCGTCGATAATCTTCGACTCTAGTTTGAAGCCAGCATCATTCAGACGGTCGATATATCCTTGGCCTAAACATGCAGGAGTATAAACACCTCCTGCGAGGTCGAGGTCGTCTTGTAATATTGTGCAGGCAGCTTGGCTAACAAACACCGCAGTCACTGTGCCAGCCATTAGCTTACAAGTTACATCCATCCGGCTTGAAAGTTGGGTACTTACGATAATACAATCCGCCACTATATTCAGCATTACACCATGCTTGCTTGCCGATGCTAGGTTGGATGTCTGGCGTTGCGATTCCGTGGAACTGGATATGCTCTTTTGCCTGCTCTTCTTTACTTGCTCCCTCGCCGGGCTGATAGACGAAGTTGCGCATTAGCTTTCGAATTGGCGAGCAGAACATAAGCAATGCGCCGCCGAATATGAGGGTATAGTGCATCACCATACCCCCAAGGTGGTTTTTCGCTCTTATAAATTCCCGGTAAGTAAAATTTGGCCCGTAGAACTGCTTCTGCAACGACGACTCCTCTTTGAACAGACCCCAGGTACGCTGCACAACTGCTGTGTTGGTCCCGGCAGTCATGGAGGTTGACATAAGCCCAAGCTTGGGGATGGTATATAAGCCTGTTAGCTTTGATAGCAACGAAGGCTTAGGGGCCCGTTTCGAGTTCGGGACGGGAGATAGAGCGTATGGTTTGTGGGACTGAGCTACTTCTTTCCAGTGAAAGACGTCGAAGAGCCCTAGGAGCGTATGGAGAGTACCACCCGACGGTGCACCGCTATGTTGTGTTAACTCCCGGCTGGTATAATTGGGCCAATGACTTACTGTATCTCATGTATTTTAACCACAACGTCGTCCACCGGGGCTGACAGCTCAGATCGGATGAGCGATGCCATCGAGAAGGTCATTAAATCTGATGGCACAGATTCGATAGCGGACTGGGAGAACATGCAAGCACCCGTTGCCTTTGCGGATGCTTCATACTTCCTAATCATAGATGCGTGCCAAACAGCCTCGCCGGTGCAATCGAAATAGTGAGTACCAGCCTCTGCGCAAGCCTTAAAGGCAAACTCTCCGTATTTTGCATACGGTCCAACTGTCGTGATGAGTGCAAAGGTCTTTTTGGCCAACGCTGCAAGATCTGCGTTATTGAGACCACATATCTCAATCTCTGGAGGCTGACGGTTAGAGTTCAAGGCTTTGCATTCTTGAACTACATTCCGCAGCTTGTCAGCAGATCGACCGGCTATCGCCCATCTTAGATCCGTTGGGAAGTGGGTTGTGATATGTTCCGCAACTAGTGACCCGGTAAAGCCTACGAACGATTAGCCGTTCGAATATACTTAATCCCATATATGGTGGCTATAGTCAACTCACCGGTTGCGCCGAACACCACCAAGTCATATTGACGAGAGTGTTTCTTGAAAGACATTACGAACTCTAGCCGAGGATGATGCAACTAGGACGAATAACGAATATAGGTAGACAGGAAAAAGTAGGAAAAGAAGATGCACTCGACTGGATACTGGATATCGACGTCAGTTTTCGCTTTGGATAATACACCCTTTACACCCTTTACATGAAGCGGATGAATGCCTATTGTACTTGCGATATTCACGAAACTTGGGCTAGAGACTAAGAAGGCATGGAATATGTGGCCAGTCTTTTTCCATTAGGGTTCTAATATATAGATAATACAGCACACGCAGATCAGAGCGTTTGATATTCCCTTTTCCCATTTCCGGCACCGCCTCTGATAGACTAGGCGATATACTAAGATACAAGAGGCTTTAAAGGCGGTAACCACGGAGCGCAGTTCTAGCTACGAAAGGAATCAAGGCCGTACATGCCTCGGCTTCACATCTCCAAACGAAAGAGAACTCCGGCGTTTCGTGAATATCAATCCGGTGAGAGTACCGTAGGTTTCGGGTTCGTGCCTAAAGAAGTTTAGTTCGCAAGGTGATCTCCGCAGGGATAATTCTATATACCGAGGTAGGTATTCCGTATGTATGTACATATGTATGTATGGCAATGTCTCTCTGCCTTATTACATGTATGTAGACTCTTATGTACCTAGGTAGATGAGCCAATGAGCTGGATAAATTTTGGTCCGTGCTTAAATTCGTGCTTAAGCGAATCGGAACATTTTTAGTATGCTCCGTTTACTTGGTTAGTCATTTAAGTCACCTGACCCAACTATCTTATCACAACCTCCCAACCCCTCCTATCTCCTATGTTGTTTTCTTTCCCCTTTTAGCGCACTTGCCTAAAGTGGTCCAAGCTTCTTAATCTTTTTGTTCGCTTAGACCCTAGTCTGGACCACCACCAGCCGTACTTTCTCACAAAATCAAAAATTCTAAGCTAGCAGCCCACTCAGTAATCCAACCTGGAATTTGACTGAGGAAATTTCCAATTTAGACCACAACTGAAAAACATCCAACCCTTCTATCGTCATCCGCACTTCACGAACAAACCTCACATCCCTCAGACAAAATGACGAAGCGCACAAAGAAGGTCGGTGTTACCGGAAAGTACGGTACCAGGTAAGTAATTCGAGGTTTTCGTTGGTATCTAATTTAGAGTCCCTCGAGCGGTCATGTCATCGCTGGTGGTCCAACGCGGCCGGCCTATTAAGACAGAATTACAATGTCCCAATCACGAAGAAATACGCTCGAGGCGATCTACTTCCTCCGAAGAAAACCGCTGACGATAGTCCTCCCGGATAGATACGGTGCCTCGCTCCGAAAGCAGGTCAAGAAGATGGAAATCACCCAGCACGCCAAGTACACCTGCACATTCTGCGGCAAGACCTCCGTCAAGCGCCACTCCGTCGGTATCTGGGACTGCAAGTCGTGTGGAAAGACTGTTGCCGGAGGAGCCTACACTGTCTCGTATGTTGAACTGCAATACAAATTCTGCTGGAAGGGCGAGAGATGTCAGTGCTAATATTCGCGTTATAGGACCGCTGCTGCGGCTGCCATGCGATCAACGCTGCGAAGATTGAGGGAGATCCAGGAGGTTTAGACGTGATGCGAGGGGGGACGGCTATTTTCTTTGCATTTGGCTTCGGTGTACGGGAACACGGAATTTTCTACGCAAACCATGAAGGGTCATGACGACGATCGATGAATTCCCTTAGTAGGCATCAGTGAGATCGCCTACGGATCATCGATCATAACCAAATGCCAACAAGAATTACTATGAACAAAACATCCTGATTTGTCGAGGTCGCATTATACGGCCCGGCTTTATCTAATAATGCTCTTATGTGAAACCTGCTTCTCAATATTGCCTAAGGACCCGTCATCTAGACTTTATCGTCGGATCTACGCTTTTCGAGTCATCGATTCGATCGAGTTGTTGGTGAAGGTCGCTTTAATTGATTATCTTAGGCATCTACTGTCGTTCGAGGTGTCGTTCGAGGTGTCGACTGGCCTTGCGCGACCTAGCACGACCTAGCACGTATTAAATGTGAGGATATTTGACGCCAGGGCGACCGGTGCATCTTGGAGAGCAATAGTGCGACTTAAGGACTTTTATCCTTGCCTAACTGCTATATACTCGAATTTAAGCCCAATCGCCCCTGGCGCAGGTATGTCGTCAACCCTGTTTACTTACATGAGTCATTTAGCTGCCTAGTAAACTCATTCCTCAAATAGGATTCACGTTGACGCAAAGTCGCAAGGCAGCACTCACGAGATAAGTGTCACGTCGAGAGGCAGTTGTCTCTGAATTATATGCAGTTGGACAAGCTGCTCGGGCTCGAGTGCGAATTACATACCGAATTCCCAAGATGGTTATAAAAAGACCCGATCCCCATCGTATTCTCTACTCACCTCGTAATCGGCTATCAAAGTCCGGACCTAGCTTGTTTACTTATCCCACCGCATAAGACTTTTATCATCTGATGGTATAGGCATCAGTCTTTCGATTACTACTAATATAGGTAGTTTCCAACTAGCCTCTACATTTTACCATTGGCCTGTCGAACCGTACCTGGAATCAAGCTTATTCTTCGTTCAGTAAATTACAAATCCCGTGGTGCATATTTAGGATAGCCGAAAGAACCGGAACCTGGAGTTTTTCCCTCCCTCTCAACAAGGACGTTAAGATATCCAAGCGGGCATCGGTAGGTCTGAGAATCCGGTCATACGTAAGATGTAAGTGGGTAATAATTACACCGTAACATACCACCTTACCAAGGAGAGAAGGTTCAATGTTGTATGAAAAACATCCATCGCTAATCCTCGCGAGTGTTGACTGGTCAACTATTCGGAACGTCCAGGGGAAGACGAGTAACGCTGCATTAGCTGCAACATTGAGGATGCAACATTGAGGATGCATATTTGAGGATGCTGCATGACCAGACCAGTACCTAGGTACCTAACCTAAGGTTTCTTACTACGGGTAACTTTGGGAAAAAACGAAGTCTGCTTATCCGTACTATTTATTCACTGTGCACTTACTACCAACATTGAACCTTGCCTCTTGTTTTATCTGATTTTCCGATTTATACGACTTATACGTATTTGCACACCTGCACATTTGCACATTTGCACATCTGCACAGTACATACTTACCTATCTAAGGTATATCTCCTATGCAGATATTCATACCACTAGAGAGACCGACATCGAACTGGAAAGTCGCAGATGCGCTTGGGCCGGGTTAACACTACCAAACTCTCTTCGTCTCTATTTATAATTTTACGAGCTTCGTCATGAAAACTTTGGGGATTTATCTTATTGTTTTCTAAATACTGCCGTCTACATAGATTCGGAGCTGGTACTCACATCTGTCCAAGTTCCGGTGGGTTGAGCCGAAAAGTACCTAACCTACATACCTACCTACCTACCTACCTTGTACGAACTGCGTGCACGAGACAGCAGAGACAGCAAAACGACAACAACAATAGCCACTATTCGACTCGTCGACTCATATTTGGCCCACCCTTGGGTTCATACACTACTACTGCTACTATTAAAAGTCAAGTAATTTGTGACTTACGTACATACCCAAGGTATGTACATAGGCAGCCCCTAGTCATCAGCTGCTCCCCTCTCTTCCAAGGTATACATATTTCTTACGAAGCCCTAGTGCCTGGATCGCCTTGAATTAGGTACGGAGGAAGTCGAGACTCCCCATGTTCAACTCCCACTGAAAAAGGACTAAAGAAAGTACCGAGTACCAAATACCCCCCATTAAAAAAGGGTCCAGGGTTCAGTTGGCGTCAGCTGATTGGGTCCGGCACAGCAACGCTTGGACCACAATAAGGTGGAAGCGCTAAATGACAAAATTCCACGCGCTTTCAGCACCCCTCTATTCTCTTTTGACCTTTCTATCATTGTGTCAACCACCTTGAAGTCCAAATCCACACTCCGCGCCTACTTCAGTGTTCCCAGTGACTCGCCCAGCACCATAACAAGGCAAGGCAGCGGCATAACGAGATACAAGAAAAAGCTGCATTTGTCCAATTCCTCTGTTTGGCTTTTTTCTCCGTGGAATAGTCATCCGTCACCTGTCACCTCTTTTCTTTTTTCTTCTTCTAGGTATTCCAAATTTAAAGTCCGTACCGAACCAAAACTAAACCTAGCATCCATCCTTCCTCCCATCAAATTCACCCCCTTGTTCTCTCCTTGGTCTAGGTATCGGTTTATCTCCATACGTTAAAGTCGTTTAAGCTCCAAAGAGCAGCAAACTACAGCACAGTATATTAACTCGTTCAAATTTCCGCCACATCTCGTTTCTGGACAAAGCTCGGTTTATAACTGGTCGGCTAAGAATAAGCCATTTCTTCCCTCCAGACGCATATACAGACGCATACACATCATAGCAACCTTGGAGCTTTCCGCAGTCGATTCATTATCCCAAACTTAAACGTCAGAAGGGGTGATCGTGAAGCAACAGAATTGGCCACCCAATACTAGCACCTTTTCCAATCATCCTTCTTCTAGTTTCCCTCCAATAAGATACCATACGCAACGCACTTGGGCACTTGGGGGACGCATCATCGTCATCTACCACTTACCACTGATCACTTACCACTTACCATTTACCATTTACCTTAACACTGCCTTTTATTCCCCGGTCCCATCTATTCTCTTTACTTACTATCTACCTATTATACTATCTACCTGCACCACTCCATCGCTCTATCGCTCTATCGCTCCGTTGCTTTTGCTCAACCCACCCCCTCGAGCATTCTCGACAACTCCCACCTTATCAATCTACGAATCCACACAGTCCGCTTCGAGCCCACCCACCAAGCTGCTGCACTACATTGTGCTTTTAATACCGAATTAACGATTACCCATTTCAAAGGGGGTTTACTGTTCGGATCAAGGCGGCAGCAAATCTTAAATTCAGACTTACATCAAGTCACTTATATGTTGTATTCTCAACATCGACAATCTATGAAAAATTGCCCCGATGGCTGATCAATGTATTGTCTGTCTAGAAAATCTAGACGTTCAATCGTCATCGTCGCCGTCGCCGTCGCAATTGTATATACCTCTAGAAGGTGACGCGGTGCCGAGCTCCTCGTCCTCCATAAAAACGTCCGAAGTTACAAATGCTCTGGCACGATTATCACCGGGGTCTCCGCTAGGCAGCACATCTAGCGCTGCCCACCAAAACGACGAAGAACATAGAATCGCCGTGATTCAAGTTTGCGGTCATGCTTTGCATGATGCTTGTTTACGAGAATGGACTGGAAAGGCGAACAGCTGTCCGATTTGCCGCCAAGCATTCTACTTGGTGCATGTCTATGATAAAGTTGGAGGTAAGTTAAAAGCGTTGCGATTCTGGCTGCACCCTTTCGGAACGAGAAGCTAACTAAGACTCCCGCTAAGGTACCCAATTATCCTCGTATAAAGTAGAAGATAAGAAGCAAGTTGTCGAATTCGATCCGCAAGCATGGCTTGACGACAATCCTGAAGTAGAAGAGGCAACGAGACCATGTCCCATCTGCAATCGAACCGATAATGAAGATGTGCTCCTACTCTGCGATAACTGCGATGCACCATATCATACATACTGTGTAGACCTCGAAAACGTGCCCCGAGGGCACTGGTTCTGCTTAGAATGCTCGGATACCGGCGCAGATTTCCTGGCCACCGAGCTCCAAGATGCGGATTTTACAGAAGCTAGCTTTTCCGACGGCAATTCTAATTTTCTGCCACGGACTCAGGCTACCATGCGACGAACCAGACGACAAGCCCTTTCAAACGAGTGGCAGGGTGCATGGGGTCAATTTGCAGGCCGGGTTTGGGATGTGTTGCACCTCGATCTGGATAATCATGATGACGATGAAGCTCTACGCAACTTCCGACGATCACAACAACGACTAGAAAGAGAGCAACGCGAGCATCAGCGATGGCAACAGCGTTTCAATATCGCCAGCCGCCTTGGAGTCCATGATGCTTTTGTAAATAACATATCGAATGTGGTGCCCGTACAGCGGCCTCCACCGCCACCTCCTCCCCAGGAAACGGCAGAAGAGAAGCAGGCCTGGGGTGCGCTGGAGAAGGCCATGGAGGCCACCAACCCCAATCGTCCGACCTCGAGTCACAGAAAGCGAAAGTCTCGTTCCGTGACTGCATCTCCAATTGAACCGCCTCAGCAACCGGAACGCAAGCTAAAACGACCTCGAACAAGAAGAGCTCCCACAGTAGGGGAAGCTTCATCGTCCAGTCGCCCTTCTATACAAACCAACCAACCTATATCAGATGGTTTGAATTCAAATCCCACGTCTGCCCAATTTAGTAATGGCGAGGCTCCTTCCTTTCTCTCTTCTTTGTTAAAGGAAGTTGAAATGAGTGCGCCTTCTGACGATGAGAACATCCGCCCGTTCTTCACATTCTCCAAACCAATACCGGACCCATCATCACCGGCTTCGTCTCCTTCTCCATCAGCTTTCAGCAGTCCTCGAGCTCTATCGACTACGCCCCCGCCACGTGCGATTAACGATCGCCCGGGCTCACCCCTGTCCCTCAGCTCACATATTGAACCGATCTATCCACCTACGAATTTCTTGGCAACCCGAGGTAATGGGGATCATAGCGATTCAGATTCGGGATCCCGCCGGCGGACACACCGGCCTCAGAACAATAGGGCGAGCGGTAGCTGTCCCGAAATTCGGCAGCCTCGGCCTCAGCGACAACAACCGACCCCTACTAATGGGTATCTATCACGGTTGCAAGATACTAGTCCTACGCGTGGAGCATTGCCGTTCGAGATGAAGGAGAGCATCAGTGGGATCGTTAAGGACGCCCTCAAGCCTCACTGGAAATCCGGACATATTACGGCAGACCAGTACGCCTCTATCAATCGTGATCTGAGCCACAAGCTGTATAAGGAGGTTTCGGAGGAATCTCTCAACGAGGATGCTCGACAACGCTTCGAGAAGATTGCAACTAAGGAGGTAGCAAGGGCGATCGCAGATCTTAAGGCGTAATAGGGATCGTCACGATTTTGTCACGACGAAGAACAAGAACAAGAACAAGAACAAGAACAAGAACAAGAACAAGAACAAGAACAAGAACAAGAACAAATGGACACGGACACTGACACTGGGCATTTTGCGTGGCGTTTTACGGCTTACTGGGCATCATTAGAAGTTTCGGGTGACCTATAGAGCCATTGATGTTATCAAAGATACCCTTGCGCGGAGTACTCTGCTTTAGCTCCTGAGGCGGTTAGCCCTCGGATGCACCTCCTTTTTCTTGCATACGCGACGGCGTTCGGCATGGGATAAGCAAGCCTCTATAGAGGTACGGACGGACAACATGATGCATATCGGTAAGGTTTGAGCTTTTTTTTCTCATCTTTCTATCCGGAAAGGCCTTTTTTCGAGAGGCTTCTACTGGTATTTCATAGTAATAGGAGGTTCGAATTTTTGGACGTGTATAAGTACAGCATTAGACTAGGTTATGGGGTGGGAAGAATAAGAATTCATACTCGACATTTAACGTCCTATAATCTTTCTTTCTCAATTATCGACTTTGCTTCGTCTGTTAAATATGAAACATGTATGCGTAGCTATAGAGAACACATGGCGAAGTGAGACTGGTTGCCTTGCACGGTTTCATAAAGTCTCGGGTCTCGGGTTAATAAGGCATAAGTATCGGAGTGAATAAGCCACGAGGGCAAGCCGTCCGGGCCAGTCATCATCACATGTCTGTTCAGCTGATATGTGCATACATTAGGTAGGTACATAGGGTACTTGAATACCTACCAGGTACGTACATCCTACCTATTATAAAGCCACTTGTGGCTATCACCAGCCCCGCTTAGCTTGTGTCCCACATTAACTTTTCCATGTCGTCCGTTTTTCTTCTTTTTTTTTTTTTTCCTCTTCTGTTTTTAATATAACCAAGGCACCAATCCTTATCATCAGACCTTTTCTCGCACTCCCAAGACGTCCTGATCATTTACGCGTGCCGAGAGCGAAGCCCCGAGCAGCCTTTTTTCGCTAGCAGTACCTGCAATTTGTGACACTGGGTTCGCTGTTAGATAGACGCTGCCGACATTTTATTGTTTTTGTTTTCGTCTAGTTTTTAGTTGTTTTGTGTGCGTGTGTGCGTGTGCGTGTGTGTGTGCGTATGTATGTGTGTGCGATGTGGGGATATGTATGTATGTATATCTGTATTGTATTAAATCGGTCAGGCTGTCCTTGATTATATGGGGTTTAGTTCTGCGGTTGAATGACTGGCGGGTTGGATGTGGCTGGCTGGGGGTATTGCGATAGCCTTACTTGAATGGTAGATAGGTATCTTATATATCGCACAAGAGGGCAAAGTTGTTCAGGCTAGATAGACTTACAATATACAATCGACGATAAATGTCTTCTCTAGATACCTGCATGATTTCGATACTGTGTCTCATTTGCGAGTAATTCTTTTCGTCAGACGCATTTGCGGTGTTGTAATTTATCCTGCGTGGGTGAGACTGAGCGTTGTCTTACGTCGTGAGAGCTGAAAGTCTCTCTCTCATCTGATTCCTAGCGAGTAGCTGAGAATAAGAACATTGGTTATTGCAATATGAGCGTATTAGTTGCGGTATAATGAGACTTACTACCGTCGCCATCCCTCTCGAGTCATGGACGCCTGTCGTCTTCGTGTTAGTCTGCTGCACTAAGATGAAGTCTCCCTGCAAACTGGCAATAGGACTAAGTTTTATACTCATGCTATATTAAATGTTATACTACGAGTAGTCTCCAGGGGCTCTCAAGTACGTGCTTTATTAGGTAGTGAAGGCAGGGAGAGAGTATAAAACGGGGGAATAGGCCGAGAGACAAAAGCATAACGTAATAAAGAAATAATATATATATCATTGTACTGGTGGTAACTACCAGTGAACAGCATTCGTGTTGCTTTTTGTTGCTGGCTCTCTTACCCCTATTCAGCATACGATCTGGACTCTACATCCCACTCTATGTCATATCGCATATACTTTTCGCCTCAAGGGGCATCTCTCTCGTCTTTTTGTTTAAAAGACGACGGACCGTTGGTTTGGCATATCGATCAAGTGTTTTTTGAATAATTCAAGTGACTTGGAAGGAGTTGCCCTCTATTACATATATCTCGCCTACTAGGCACGGTAGCATCTGGTAAAGTGTTAATTCGCGTTGATCATTCGTATCATTCGTATCATGATGAATATGAATTCATCTCTTGATTGGCATTTCTATTAAGTAAATCCTCTAATAGGATGTATGTATTAACGGGCTATAGTGCCGAAATCTTCGTGCCTCCCTATTCCGCTCTACTGCAAATCATATATCATATCAACCAGCCGAAGTTACCGTCACAAATATGATAACATCAAAGCCGAGAGCCCCGTAAAATATGGGGAGAAGAGTCGTATTTTATTTATAATAATCGCTTGGACTGCTCATGATACAAGCTCGCGCTATAACCCATCTCAAATGCTTCCAAAAAATTCCAGCCTGGGTATTCCTCCAATCCTACCACTGACTTGACGCCGTGTTTGTTGGTTCTTGTGCAAAATGGGTTGCTCGGCATGATAATCGTGACGATAGTGGGGCAAATATCCGCTATATCGTCCATCCAACTGTCCCGCGCTTTTAGTAATCAACGGGCTTCTGGCTCGTTCCGATAAAAAAGAGGCCAGGTATACGTATAAAGCTCGCATGCAAGTCCCTCATCGGTTTCTCATGTGCGACGGTCGCGTCACGTCTTGGCACCCCCTCCACCCGGCGGATCTTCGTCGCTATCAGCAGACCCGGAACTCAACTTTCTACTTTCAGCTCTGAGCGCGGCTCCCTCATTTAGCTCCATCTTATGAAGTCTCTCTCTAAGAAGCTCCTCACCCGGTCTGACATCGAACTCTGCTTCGGAATCCGAGTCTGACTCTTCCTGGTCTGGCGACTTCTTCTCGGCAGGTAGACCACCCTTGGTTACTATTGCAAGGGCTTCCTTCGATACCTCCGGCGCGGGTCGGCGGCCAAAATTCTTTAATAAGCTGTTAGGATCGATGGGTTTGATAGTTGGGTCGTACGCTGCTGGTAGCCCAACAGCTACTGCAACACGATGTGCTTCTTCGTCTGGGGTGAGATTGGGTTCTAGCTCGTATACACTGCTGTTCTCGCTATCGGCTTCGTGCGGTTGACCTAGCAGCATTTGCGCATAGCTTTGCCTAGATGGGTCATGCGCCCGCTTCACCTTTTTTTTCACGCGCTTCTCATTAGGACGCACGACAACAACAGGAACTGGTGAGTATTGCAAGCAGTACTTCGAAAAAGAACTACGATTCACGAGGAACCCCTGGACTCCATCAAGGCTTCTACCCTTCGTACCAACGATCAGCATGGATGGCTGGTATATTTTAATCTAACACGGTTCTGGTTAGTACTAATATTGCAATTCGACAAATTTGATAGTAGCATACGATGAGCTACAGCTCGACTAGTAGGGGATACTAACAAGATGCTGGAACGTGCTGTGTAGTTTCCCAACAGCATATTCTAAAATTAGGCCAATCGCTTTGTTCTGCGTGTTCTTCGACTGGATTGATTCCATCAGAACTTTGGCGTCTTCTTGGTACGCCTTGTCCGTAAGGCGGACCTGGGTTTCGATTACGCGGACGCATATAATCTCGTCGCCGTCGTCGACCAGTTCGTCCAGTAGCCATTGCAAAGCATGATCGGAATACGAGTTGTCGTCTACGCCGACCATAAAGGTGCGGTGTCGTCGTCTAAACTGAAACCCCGCATGGCGGTAGTTGAGGGTGAACGAGATGGGATTATACTCGGTTGATTCGCCGAGGGGGATGTTGTCGAATGCTACATGGGACTCGAACCTTTGTGAGCGAGGAGATTCGGTTAGCGTCTCGGTTGCCATTAGTTAGAAGCGTAGCGGAGAAAGGAAGTAGTGGGTAAGAAACAGGAGAGAGGTTGGTGGTGATACAGCAAAACGGGTCCGTCAAAGGCACCTTTTGCGCGAAATTCGACCAACAGCTGATAGGGGACAAAGACTTGTGATTTTCAGGCCAGTGGCCACTAAAACGCACAGCTTTGCTGCGTCTTCGCCTTCGTCATTTAAAAGAACGAGGTACTTGCTAAAGAAGTACGGGGTTTGGCCTTGGGATGGCATGTGGGGGATTATAGTGAGCGGGGTAGCATCGGGCGAGTCGACGAATAGGGGCTGCTTTAGAGTAGGTCGCGCGAGTAAGAAACCGGACTAGCTTGACGATCCTCACTGGAACGACATGCGCCCATAATGGAAGACCATCTCTTTATCAGTTCTCGGCAACCAACCCAGGCTCGTAGGGTTCATAGGCATTATCATATCTCGAGAGACCATGCGAATAACGACAAGCCACGCGGAATACGTCGGACCTCTCCTAGTCGACAAACGCAGTTATTATTCCTTGAAGGGTCGAGTATCATGCGGCTTCGGAGGTCTCAAGCGGGCCTATGATGTAATAACACGGCCAAATTTGCTCTTCGGTCGCAAAAGAGTTTCCGCCAAGAAGTGCGATCGCGCCGATGCCCTCGCCCGAATAGCCTTAGGGGCTTATAATGTAGCAGCTTCGCGGCCATCCTTGCATTCGAAAAGTCTCGGCGCAAACGAAGCAGAATGTGGATGTGCACGTGCATATGGTATATGCGTACTTGTGTGGATAGGGGATGTAAAATGCGTTAAAAAACGAGATCATGTCGACTTACCTACGGTGCGGCGGAGACGCTGCCCGAATTCGATTTCCAGCATGCGGTTTCTTTAGACCTTGAGGAAGCGATGGGTGTCGAGGGGGTGCAAAGGATATAGACGAGATAGATGCCTTCCTAGATGGAGGACCACTACTCCCCGCACTAGAGGCTGTCTCGCCTGGAGTCGTTGCGCTCGCATCTCCCGTGCTTTCAGCTGTCTCTTTCCCCTTGCCCTTGCCCTTGGGTTCGGTAGCGGCCCGTTGCACTAAGCCTGCGCGGGGAGTGCTCCTTGCGCTATCCTGCGCTGCTGAACTGGAACGGGAGAGCGGGCTCGTTCTCTTCTCGAGAGAGAAGTAATCCGTCTTCTTAACACTTGGTTGCGATTTGGGAGAGACGTCGCTCTCGGGGCTTTTAACCGGGGTAGGTAAACCTCCGGACATATTCTCTTCTTTTCTCGAAATGAACTAAAGTGATCAAGATAGCGCCTATACGGATACTGTCGATACCTTACTCACGTTGCCTCAGTGAGAGGGCGGAGGAGGCAGTTTCGTACTGACGGCATTGAGCGCGGATAGTCCAAGATGAACCCCAAAGGGATAGCCCCGGGGCTATCCGTCTTCGAGATGGTCTGATAGCCGCGTGGAAGACAAAGCAAGCCTGAGTCTCGAAAGATTGAATCGAAAGGCCACGTGGGATAACAAGGATGAGAGATACCAGGAGATATTGATAGTGGAACACGAGACGGATGATTGGTGGGTGGTGTGTTTAGTTAAGTGGTAGCCATAGAGGCCTTACAGCAACTGGTTATGGACGTGTCCTGTCTATGGATCGCAAGAAAGTAAATTAGCTGGGGGGCGTCACGAACATTCCCGTTGGTGTATTGTCCGAGATAGAGAATGATCGGTTTTAAAAACAAACGCTCCGGGTTAAGGTGGCTGAGGCGAAAGTGGTGAAAAGTGAGGGTTAGGTACGTATGGATGATGTCGTACGTTTTGGCTTAGGTGACTTGCTAAGGTGACTTGCTAAGGTGACTTGCTAAGGTGACTTGGCTTCCGCTGCAATCGTGGGAGCTTCGAGTTTCTTTAACCCGCCTTGTCTCGAGTAAGAAAAGCTTGTTTGAGGGAAGAAAGCTTGGCTGTGTTAAGTTTCGGCGGGCGGATTGGCGCGTAGTTGTAGTTGTATGTAGGCAGTAGACAGACAGACGGGTTGCTTTTAACGATGTATCTTTTTGAAAGGGAAAACAACCTTGGAAGTGGGTACAAAATGCACTTGATGTCTAAACGAGAGAGTACATACGTAGGTACGTATAAACTTGTAAAGTGTTGCAAGTAACAACAACAATGATGAATTACGATGAATTGCTGGCCAAAAAGGTAATAGTTGAGTCAGGCTTCTTTTTTGAAGAGGTGAAGGAGTTTGGATAAGGCGGCCATGGGAGGAGCGGGCTAGATGTACATATGAGGTAAAGGGCAGTAACGATAGTAAGTAGTAGCTAGTGGGCTTGTAGGGGCTGTATAGGGTCTGTAGCTGCCCCGGGCGATGTTCTTTTTCTTAAACTTGGTACGCACAAAAATGGGAAAGTAAAGAGTTGGAGCCAAGAGCTTAAACCTTGCGGCAGATGACGGCGCGTTTCCAGATTTTCCTATTTTTACACGCTACCGCAGGGAACTAGCACCTGGGCAGGACTAGCAGGTACTTATACATGTGTACCTAGATACCTCTTATAGCATACGCGTCTTAACGCTTGTGGTTTGGGTACATGTAATTAGGTACTCGTACTGGACTAACTATCTCGGTACCCAACGTATGTACCTAACAGCAGCTAGGTACCTTGGTTGTATGTACATATGCTAGCTACATCAGATACATCAGGTACATTAGGTGCCTACCTACACTATTGGAACCTGCCACCGTTAGCACCCCGGTTTATGCATCTACAGGCGCACAGGTACATGTACTATGTATGTATGCATTATGCTCAAAACATGTACATTGGTCGCATACGTTGATGTAAGTCATCTCGCCTCCGCCTAATCTAAATTCTGAAGAAGCATCAATTGATCTTCCTCTCACGCTTCGAGGTTGTTTTCGTCTTACCTTTCGCTTTTCCCCCTTTTTATTCCATTCGTCCAATCGCAACATGTCGACAACTTGCGGCAGACACTCCAATGCGACGTCAGGCCAGCGTAATCGTCAGATCAGCCAGCAAAGCTGTTGTTCGAAGCCGATATCCCGTATCCTATATCCTAAATGGGCATCTCGTATCTCAAATCGACCTTGTGTAAAACTCCCGTCGACTTCTTGCAGCGGCATATGACAACTGCCTTAAGCATCTAGTCATCACTACCTTGTACTCGTCATCACGTCTCTGGTTGCGCTTTCGGTATATGTGATGACAGCAACAATCATAACAACAATCATAACAATCATAACAACAACAATAGCAATCGCCCAAGTACTGTACCACTATGTGTTCATCTAAAATTGATAATATCAAGGCTTCGTCCACAACGTCTGCGGCTAGAAGCCAACTGCACTCCCAGACCGGCGGGTTAGGGCCAAGAAAGAACATTCACCCCTCCTCGCCTTATCCTCAGGTCCTCTCCAACCCTTCCGTATTCCTCAGTACTGGACGTATCTAGAAGGTAGCTCTAAGGACCAGGCTCTACGTACGTCCGGATTGTAAATTTCTTCCTATCAGGTACGCAATTCAGAGTAACTACCGATGTGGCTTACACATGGGTTGTCCGCGCGTGAGGCCTGCCTCCGCTTTTTAACTTACTTACTTGCTTGAGTAATTATGTGTCTTGATGGTCAAGATCCGCAAAGTCTTCGTCCTAGCCGAGAAACGTACATGGTAGATACCTACTTACTCCAAGAAATAGAAACCCCATACCATTCAAAAGGGTACCAAGACCAGACCATAGGGATTAGCAGAACGAACACATAAGACATGCGGGAGTAGTACAATCTCGTGCTCTTGGCGAACTTGGCGCATAGCTCGCGTAGCCAAGACGTTGACGGGCAAGGATAGCTTTCCTTTCCAACACTTTCTTTCCACTCTGATGACATATCTGTGCAACTCCTGCGGGAGAGTTAACAAGGAAATCGAGGCACATAGCACGACAGTCGTTCTAACTGGGAGCACCACACGACATATCTCCATATTTTTCAGACTACTAAGGAAAAAAAAGAAAAGAAAAAGAATAAGGAAACGCTCCACTGGGATGGATTACGGATAGAATCATGCGCATCTCCGCCTCTAAACCTCCACCACAACGTAACAGTACCTGACATTACGTCTAACCTAATGCTACCAGGCGCGGGCCCCAAAGTAGCGGGTGGGATGAGGAGCCACCGGGTCGAGCCGTTTCACACCAACCATCCATCCATCACGATCGAACGCTGCCAGATGGAGTTCCCTACTTAGGCTACATTTCCCCGGTTTGCTCCTGTCGGATAGGGTAGATCTCGTCACATCGGCACTGCTACCCGTCGTGGAGGAACCAGGAGGGGAGAGGCCTCCTTCGTCGCCAGGTAGTTCTCTCATATCGCATACCTATGGAGTCGAAAGGTCACATGGTTTTCTCTTCCACTGGGTATAAGATATCTACCGCTCATACGTTTATACGTTCATACGTGTTCGCCGTATTGAGTCATCAGAGACAATACTCGGGTGTACGCATTGCAGCCTGCCCGCCATTCGCGAAGTTTCCGTCCAGGGGGGGTGAGTGTCTACTTGATGAGGCTACTAACCCGTATGATGTGTGATGTATGATGTGTGATGGTATATTATTATTCATCGTTTCTCAACATTCTCACATGTCAGGGATTCCACGAAACAGACAACCTAAGAACAGCATGAGGTGAAATGATGAACTAACAGGTCTGACCTTGGAATTCGATAAAGACTGTTAACCACAAAAGATCCATGTCTCCCATGCCATGTCAGCCACAGTGGGATGCAAGAAATCTTGGCTTTCTGCAGCCTCACCGAATATATCACAGATTCACTACCGCCTAAGCACCCCAGCTCCCACACGGGCTACAGCTTCGCCTGGTTATTTGTTCACGTAGAACCCGATATTTTCCTAAATCCCAACTAAAAGATCCTCACCGTACTATTACACCTCTCTACGGAGCGATAACCGAATTAAATATCTAGTCACAACTTACCGACACCCGGAAACCAAGAGATTGGCGAATGCCGCGATCGCATATATGCCTCCATACCCTAGGACAAAAACATAACGCATTGTGCTGACCGACTCGCACCTTGACGAACCATGCTTGACCGCTTTAACCAATCCAACTGCCATCGCCGACCGGCACCGGTGTTGATGATAAGTCCATTCGGTGCGATTCGGTCACGTTTACTATTATCCTATGTAGTGTTATGACCGTTGTATGTATGTCCATGCTTAACTTTCTATCGTCCCCTTTGCTTTCTATCTCCAAGTAATACCGTTCGTTATGATTTGTCAAGCATGCTTGGCAATATAATTTGGCAGGGCAATGAATGTGAACGGATCATGCTCCGTATCTCTATATAGGTACGCATTCAGTATCGAGATCCGATAAGCTCGAGTTTTCGTGACTATA